TTCTAGAGCAGCTACCAGTGCTCTATAGTTGTGCCTGTCATCTGCTGACAACTGTCAAAGTATTTCCAGTTGTTGTCCCTTCAGGCTCATTGCCAGGTACACTGCTTTCTGCTCCGCCATCCATCCATTCATTTCTGCCAGGAGCTCAAATTGTGCTCGATATGCTTCCCACGGTGCCTTCCCATCGACTTTTGCTGTTCTTGTATTGCTGCCATCAAATCTGCTAAGCTGTAGTTTCATTTGCCACTTCTCATTTCCATCTTTTTTTTTTTCTTTCCATCTCACTCTCTGACACCAATTTGTTACGTCTCTGTTCGTTTGCTAATTTCCAGTATAAATTATTTCCGAGGAACTTCAGCGATACAAGTCCATTCTTAATTAAAACTAATTTATTCTTTCTTGATACAACTTTGTAATACACAGAATTTCCAATCAGTACGTTAAACTTCTTTTATAACACACGCTATAAATCACAATGATTCACACACTTTACTTATGGTGCCTACTGTTCATCTGACTCAATTATCTGTCTCTTCAATCTGTCTATATCTCTTCAATCACTGGCTTTATATACTAAAAAAAGAGGGTGCCTTCAACAAACTAGAGTTGCCAGGAAAATTCATGATCCTTCTAGAAACTTCAGCGCGCATGCTCCCAGTGTCACATGACTTCTGCTGTCGTAACATACTGATGAAAAATCACAAGTGATTTCTTCCCACAAAAAGCCAAAGAGACCATGTTGTGAAGAGAGTAATAAGATCTTGTCAAAAATAAGAAATAAACTAAATTAATTTGAAAAACGATTTGTGGCAACCTTGTTCAGTTGGAATATCTTCAGGTCACTTCTTTCTCTGGTTAATTTATTGTTGCATTATTTTGTTCATGTATGATACAATTAAATATTAGGGTTTGAAGCTGAATAAAAGAGTTATTAGAATAAAACTTACTATTTACCTATTTTTTCATTAGTGGATGTCTTTAGAAAGAGTTAAGACTTTTAGTGCTGGATTTAGTTGCCATAATGTGTTAAAAATAAGCTAAGCAATACTTACTAATTGTTAATCCAATTCAATATTGATTAATAGTTTCTGCTAATCAAATCCACTAAACTATTTTGTTCCCTCTAGCCTTGCTTATCATTATCTGTACAATCTGTTCCTATAAGGGAGGAACATCTAATTTAAAATATTTACACCCTACTTTATCCTCTTCTTTTTTTTTTTTTTTTCAAGTGCTATCGGATTATATGTACGATAAACAATCAGTTGAATTTTTCCATAATTTAGAAACTATCAAATGCTGGAATGGTAAAACTTTGGAAATATTTTGAAACAGGGCTAGGCAAGTTGTGGAAATATGCTGATTAACCTTTTTGAACATGAGACAAATCTTTGTATTTTAAGCTTGTTTTTCCTTTAAGACCTTTGTTCAGATACAACAATTTAGGATTATGTTACTTTTTTAATCCTAAACTTTCATTTATAAAAATTTACTATATATGCAACACATTATGAAACCTGTAACAGGCTGAAAATGTGGTTAGTACTGCTCTGTGAGTTTCTCCTTACAAATTTTAGAAGCAATTTCTATTAAAACTAAAACTAACTCTACATTTAAAAGTAATAGTCCTTATATTTCATGTGATAACTAAAGCCAGTGCGTGATAAATAATGAAGAATTCACTATGATTCTTTTAGAACATCTACTTTTTTGTAAGGAAAGCTATAATGATACTAGATGCACTGTTTGAAAGATTAAATTGATTCGTAAGGTAGAAACCAAAGTATTATAAAAAATATATTAAAATTACAGTAATATAAAAATATATTAAAATTACAGTAATATAAAAATAGATTAAAATTACAGTAATATAAAAATAGATTAAAATTACAGTAACGTAGAAAATTTATTAAAATTACAGTAACGTAGAAAATTTATTAAAATTACAGTAACGTAGAAAATTTATTAAAATTACAGTAACGTAGAAAATGTATTAAAATTACAGTAACGTAGAAAATGTATTAAAATTACAGTAACGTAGAAAA